TCTGGCATTAGAGCTCAGGACAGGGAGCACTTCGTTCCAACACACCCCTTATGAAGCAAAGAGTTCATGACTCAGTAGCATCTAAGGGAAGGCCACGCCATACGGCAAGACTGCTTCTACGAAGCGTCTCTGGCATTTGAGCTCAGGGACAAGTGTAAACTTTAATCCCCTCCCGCTCTTTGCAGCAATCGTTGGTCTGCAAGAGCAGAATGGTAGAGGCAAGGCTGAGAGAACTCATGCTGAGGCAGTCCATGCTTCAGAAGAAGCACCTGTCTCTGTGCCACCATTCGACGGCATCGGGAGAGATGAGGCCGTAATGGTCACATAACCCGAAGTCGACACCGAAATTGGTGATGGAACATGTCCAAATCCCAATGACGGCGATAAGAATTAAGGTGAAGTTGGAATGACTCATCCGATTCTTGATGGGTGCTTGAGAACAAGTGGATGCTTGTTCCAGCCCCGGTTCTTAGCAGAAATCGTTGCTGTCCATGACACACGCCAACCTGCAAGAGCAGTATGGTAAAGGCAAAGCTGGGAGAACTCATGCTGAGGCAGTCAATGCTTCAGAAGAAGCATCTGTCTCTGTGCCACCATGCAACGACAGCGAGAAATCCGAGGCCAAGCTGGTCCCCGAACTCAATGTCGATTACAGTGACATTGGAGATGAGAACGAGATGTTCCAAATCCCTTTGGCATTGGTGACAATTCCGGCGAGGTAGAAACTGAGCCAATTGTCAAAATCCGGTCTTCTGAAAGAATGACTGGATTCGGAGCTTGCGAATAATGGCGGATGCCTTTATTTCAACTCCGGCTCTTACCAGAAGACGCCTACGTGGCAGTAATTGCTCGATGGCTTTCTGCGTGAGCGAATGGGAAGGGCAAGCACACAGTGCGCTCGGGCATCTAAGAGACGCGCGCGTCTACATGCCACCATCCAAGGGCGAGTAATCCGAGGCCAATCTGGTCGCCGGACTCGACCCCCGATGACAGCGTCGGTGATGAAGGATCATGTCCACAATCCAAGACGTCAATAATGCCAATGTCAATGATGAGAGTCATGGGTACTCTATTTCCTGAGACGTTGTTGAAGCCGACGTCGGTGATGAAGGACTTGCGTACCCTATTTCTCCAGACTATGACAATATCGATGTCGGTGATGAGGATTCAGTCAAACTATATCCTGAGACGTTGAAGACAAATTCAGATTGCGTGAAGTCGAAAGGACAAAACCAATAGCTTTCAGAAAGCCGGTACGACTTCATAAGCTTTGCGCAGCATACGGACGTCAAACCGACTATTGTCATGGGAGCAAATCGCTTGAGACGAAGAAGGCGGCGTGGCATGACGAGCATAGCTGAGTAAGATTCTCTTTGCATGCAATCTTTAGCCCCAGGTATCTAGCACCTTGCTCTTCAAGTGCCATACTAATTATCACGGTTTTCACTTGCAGATACCAGCAAGCCTAACGCAGACGACGACCCCGACGACCCCGGCGACCCCGACCGTAATGGCGACAACGAGAGGGACATCGACAGGGACATCAACTAGGGACTTTGGCAGCGGACTTCGACGGTGGACTTTGACTTGGGGACATGGATAGGAGATAACGACAGGGACAACGATAGGGACAACGACAGGGACAACGATAGGGACAACGACAGGGACAACGA